TCACCTCTCGCTCTCTCGTGTTAGTAGGCGCTCCGATTCTGCAGTCTGTAACCCTCTGCAGTCTGCTCCCTCCCGCAACCGTTCTCCCTCTACCCCTTGAAGTAGCAGGTACGAACTTCTGATCGCCTCCTCGTTCCGCTCTTCTTCCTGTAATTCCTCCATTGGCAGCCTGGAAGAGAATCGAATCGTCTCGCATGTGTACTTTATACTTCTTCAGTTCCATTTCCTGATTTCTCATAATCTCTGCTCGATTTTAACGCAGTTGGAGAATCTGTTGGCGTCTTTGTTCTTGATTCAGCGGGAAAATCTTGCGCTAGCGACGAGATGGGGCAGATCCAGTACTCCGAGAAGTATTTCGATGATACTTACGAGTACAAGTGCGTAGATTCCGCCGCCGACGCGGTTCATTTCCCCTGTCGCTTCGCTCTTTCGTGTGGCTGTGTTTCTTCCGAGTGCAAGATTTGTGCTTTGTCCCTCTCTCTCTTGTTTATCTTGGATTTCTATGTCTACTGAGCAGGCACGTCGTCCTTCCTCCTGAAGTGGCCAAGCTGCTCCCCAAGAATCGCCTTCTCTCTGAGGTAATTGAAGCAAAGCGAGGCCGGCGTTGAGGAAGGAGCGGCGGCGGAGACGATCGCGTCATGACCACGGTGGCGTAGATGGCGAATGTAAGTTTTATTTTTATTTTTTAATAGTTGTAAAATGAGGTGGAAATTGTAAATATTTATATTTTATTATTTTTTTAATGGCCACGTCACTCATTTAACGGTCAACTATAATAGTTGACTGCCACATCAGCAAAAACTAACGGAGACTAACGGAGAGTGACCAAACTTGAACTATTGAACTAATGTTAGTGACCATGAATGAAATTAAATATTTGCAGTGACCAAACATGAACGGTTTTAGTAAACTCAATGACCATCCTTGTAATTAACCCCAAAACTTAATGATGTTAACGAAAAGCTGGTGTGGACGTACACATAAGTCGAGAATTAGCAATGTAAGCGCCATTCAACACCACCACTGAAGCTCGGGATTAATTCATATTATGTGTTTGGTCGAACTGGATACAAATGGTCGAGCCTCATCCTCGCACCGCGGCTGTGAGAGAAAGGGAGAGAGCTCTCTCTAATTGCTCTAAAGAAACCCTAATTCCAGTTGTTTTTGCCTTATGCGTTGGGAGGTTTGTAATCTAGGGTTAGATATGGTTTTTAAGGAGGGATTGGAAGAAAAGAGGTGGAATAGAAGACCAAATTGGAAATGAGGTTGGATTCTCTCTTGATTTTGGATTTTTTTATAGAAATCTAGATTTTGGATTTCAATTCCTGCAATGAACTTTAATGTCGCCAACTTTTTGCTGGGATTCGCAGGGGGTGAAGGAAAAATCGAAGAAATTTTCATTAGCTTATGTTCCAGAATTCATATGATGATATGATGATAAATGAACTAGATATGACTTATGGAGGATGCATAAAGATTTACCCCGATAGCGTTGACGGGAGGCAAAGTCCTATGTATTTTTTCTTAATTATTTTTGGTTTTTAGAGGCCACATCAACAATTTTAATGTCCCCCATTAAATTTAACAAATTTATTAGATAATGGTCATGATTATTATAAGGATGAAAGTTTTGGCTATACAAATCTATTTTGCATAACAATTACAAAATATGTAGACCAAATCATAGGCAACATTATCACTTTTCTATATTTGGAGAAGAAGGGCAATGATGTCTGGAACTGGTGGTGGAATCGAGTAGCTATAGCGGCATGGACGTGCCCAACAAGAATCTTGAGTTGCAATTGCCCTCTCTCTTCCTCCACCGGTTACGTGATTACTACAAAGTACTTTGTAATCACCGTGGTTACTAAGGGTAAATTGGGTATGGAAAAATAAATTATATTAATTAATTTTTTAATAAATTACATTTTAGGTAGTTACAAAAATCTATTAATTAAAATTCTCTCTCTTTCTCTCACTTCCGTAATCTCCAGCCAGATATTCTTTCCATATTTTTCTCAATCTTTCTGCAATAAAAAAAAAACGAAATTAGTACCAATCCATTAGACAACCACTACCACTTTGAAAAACATCAATACCATTGCAGAAATAAATCTATACCATTACACGAAACTACCATTGCAGAAATAAATCTATACCATTACACGAAAACTACCAATATAAACAATCTATACCATTGCATATATGAAGAGAATTATGAACATTGAGGTTTGAACCAATATCATTAGACTTTGAAGAACTACCAGACTAGCATTGCTAATACTAATACACGTGTAATGAACCAATACCAATCTAAAGTGTCACACTACCAAACGAAGATGAATGAATATCATGTTGTTATCATAACGTAGTAACCAATACCACTGCACATTGAATCAATACCATTATGGTTGAATCAATAATCAAAAAATTACTAGATTTAGGTTTTATGTCTATTATGGTTGTATTTGTATCTTAGGGCGACTGCTACTGTCCGCCAAAATCATATCTTTGGTATGTATGTTGTGATGGTAGAGAGAAACAAAGAGAGCAGCGGGAGAGAGAGAAGATGGAGAGATAGAGAGAGAGAGAGAGAGAGAGAGAGAGTACCGGCACAGATGGGAGGGAGGCCGCTGTGGTGGCCGGTACAGAGTCATCGTCGGGGCTGTTGCCGGCGGGATTAGTGCGACGGGAGTGGTACGTGGAGGCGACTGCGACGGGTTTGGCTGGAGAGAGGATAGAACTAGGGTTTGGGTAGATTATATAGAATAATCAGGTGTGGTCACTTTTTAATTTCCAAAATTACCCTAAAAGAATCTTGACCGTAAGATTAAAAAAGAAGGGAAAATAATTAATCAAATAATATATAAAGAGGTTGCCACCGTGATTACTAAAAAACAAGTAATCACCCTAACTCATTCCCTTTCATTTCCCCTTTCTTGCTCTGAAACTCATCAGGTTCCTCCAGCAACATGATGGAATTTTCCTTCTCTTCTTACTCTATTTGCTGGTCTCTGTTCTTCATCCACAGTCCGCTGATCTTGCTGGTCTCTAATTTCAAATTTGCTCTACCCAGAATATATATGGAATAAGCAGTAGTTATTTTCTGTTACTTTTTCCTACTTAGGTGCTTTTTTTTGGGGCAGATTTGGTATTGCTTTGGTGTTGGTTTATGCAAATTCTGGGCAAGTTTGAGTACACCTCCAGTTTTGTAGATGTTGTTGTTTGGTACTGGTTTATCCTAACATGGAATTAGCAGAAGAAAATATTTGGTTTAGACAGTGTTGTTAAAGTCGGACCGGACTGATAGAATCGTCACCTGCTCTCTAACTCGGTCCAGTCAGACTATTTAACCTTCACGGTTCAATATTCCATTTGTACGCGAACCAGCTAGTTGAACCGGGCTAGACGTTCGAATCTCTCAAACGGTTTTGACGGCCGGAAATCCTATTTGACCAAATTAAAAAAATTGGACAAATGTGAGAGAGCTGGGATTTGAACAAAACACCTCTTGGTGAGGACTTACACATTCTACTAATAGGTCTAGCCGGTAGCCCCATTTTTGTGAAACAAAAGCTAATAAATTGTTTTATTAATCATTACAGAGTGTTTACTTTTGAATAATCACAACTTCTATGCTTAAATAATTTATATTTATGTAAAATGATAATCTTTACTTGCCATATATAATTTTCTGTTAGGAATATATTAGAATCAATATATAATTATAGTACTGTTAATGGTTTCTACTTATAATAATTTTATTTATTTTATTTATTAGACAACGATTTGTTAATGAGTTTATAGCGGCTTAGTACCAGTTAAACTAGTAAAGTGCGAACCACTTACCATACTGGTTCATATACCGGTTCGGTTTTGACAACATTGGTTTTAGATGTTTTGCTAGAAATAATATGTTGGGGGTATGATTAAGAAAGGAAGCCCAAGTCCAGTTCCAATAAGATACCATAAGGCTCAAACAGTCTCCATCATAGGGCAGACCCGCTGAGAAAGCCCATCGAGGCGAGCCCAAGCATGAATGGGGGATCCTGAAGATGAAGCTTAGAAGAGTTCAAGGAAGTACGGATTGTCGGCGGTCCCCGGGGGTAGGCGCCTATATGTGTCAGAAGACTGACACGTTGGTCGGGGCGCCTAACCAGACAAAAGTACGAAGCATTTAATGATATACTGACATGGAGCTGGTTTGAAGGAGCCTGGTCCAGGGCTGGGTAAGTATAAAAAAGTACTGGTAGATAACATTAAAGGGGGTTGGATTCTCTCACTAAAAGCTAGGGTGAAGCACTTCTCTCTCTAGGATAGATACTAGCTTGAGCGTTGGAGAATTAATAGGCCCGGGACGCACCCTTTGTGTGCCTTGTGTGTAGGTGAGACGTACAAAGAAGAAAAGGAGGAGCGTTGGTGTAGGGAATCGGGCTTCCTAATATCAAGGCTCAAACATAATACATATAAAATAAATCTTCAACCAAATGAGAAAATATAACCTCCAATTTTGAAAAATAATACACAAATACCACATTACCAATTTATGAGTTATTTCAACCTACAAATCTCTCATAAGTCATAACCCGAAAAACGGGTTAAAGACACATTTGGTCACTGAGATTACAAAATCGGGACATGTTTAGCCACTAGAAAAAGTTAATATCAAATTTTGTCACTACAATTACTAAAACCGGACACATTTAGTCACTCGCCGTTAGTCTCCGCCCAACTCCGTTAATGAAGTCCGTTAAGTGCTGATGTGGCAAACAGAATTGCCTAATCAGCCGGATATAACCCAACAAAAATAAAACCCGACCCGCCACGTCATTATAACCCGTCACGTCATTAAAACCAACCCAACCCAACTCATGACCCAACCCCACCCAACCCTTCTTCCTCCTTCCTCCCACCTCGACACCTCCCACCTCCTTCTTTCCCCAAAACCACCGCCGCCGCCGCTCTCCTCCTCCCTCCCACCTCTTCCCGCAAAAGTCAATCCTTGTTCAGTGTAAAAGTCAATTTTCTTCTCCTTTCCTAATTCCAGTGCGTGAATTTGATGGTTTTTAGACTGTGGAATCGAAAAGGTTTCAGGGGGTTGATTTTCTGATTTTGGGTGTTGGTTTACAGTGTTCTGGTTTGGCGGTGAGGTTGTGCTTTTGGAAGTTTGGGAGTTTCTGATATGGGTTTTGCTTTGTTTTCATGCTTAGTTTGACTTGTGGGGATCATGGAATTGGTGCAGAACTCTGGCTCTGTGAGCTGAGGTTTGCTGTCCGAGATAATTGATCTTGGCTAGTTGTTCTTCGTTTGACTAGCTCAATAGAACTAAAATCTATGACGCTGATGTGTTTTCTTCTGGTTTCTTGCTGACAAATGGTGGGAGGAAGGAGGAAGAAGGAGGAGAGCGGCGACGACGGTTGTTTTGGGGAAAGAAGGAGGTGGGAGGTACCGAGGTGGGAAGAAGGAGGAAGAAGGGTTGGGTGGGGTTGGGTCATGGGTTGGGTTGGGTTGGTTTTAATGACGTGGCGGGTCGGGTTTTATTTTTGTTGGGTTATATCCGGCTGATTAGGCAATTCTGTTTGCCACATCATCACTTAACGGACTTCATTAACGGAGTTGGACGGAGACTAACGGCGAGTGACTAAATGTGTCTGGTTTTAGTAATTGTGGTGACCAAATTTGATATTAACTTTTTTTAGTGACTAAACATGTCCCGATTTTGTAATCTCAGTGACCAAATGTGTCTTTAACCCCAAAAACTCATCCAAACGAAACCTATTTTGCTATTATCCGCACGTATGCAAGAACTCAGCCGCGGGCCTGCATATCCACGGCCCAGCTCAGCCTAAATCACTCGGCTCACGAAAGCCCATTCACAACCCGTCGTTTGCCCTTGGCGGCCACCAAATACCCGTCGCATCCCGAAAAATCCCCCAAAAATTTCAAAAAATTTCACTCCGCTCTGGCACGAACGGGAAAACAAAGGGTGGCTCCTCGTCGCTTTTTCACCATCGTTTTGTTGAAGCTTTTCTCCATCCATTTTTGTCGGCCATTCCCGCTTCGCCAACCAGTTGTGGCAGTGCCACGGCGCTGACAAAACCTTCTTGAAACTACAATTCTAATTATGGAAAGGAACTTAATCAACAGCTGGGGTTCCCCTTCCACCTCCTCTGCCGGCGCTGGTTCCCGTCACGCCGCGTCTGCGAGATCCGCCGCTTCGCCTCTCCAACCTAACTACAGTAGCCTGGCGGTTCAAGTAAGCAGCTCCTTTTTTCCTCTCTACGCTTGCTTGTAGCTTGAATTGACTTTAGAGCATTTCGGGGGTACTCGAAAGCCCTAAACCCTTTGTTTTGTTCACTCTTCGTTAGGGTTTAGTGATATTAAATTGGAGCTTGCTTCGGATACCGTTGAGCGTTGATGTGAAGAGTTTAGGTCAGTCAATTCGTCTTGATGTCGGTAGAATTGCTCGAGTCTAAATCCCAGCGTTTCAGTGTTCATGTTTAAACTGCGAGGTACTGGGGAGGTGCGGCTTCCCAGCGGATATTATGTTTGTCTTGGTAAAAGTAAGGAAGGCGAACATTTTGATATAGTGGTGGGTTGAGATTTTTCTTTCTATTTCTATAATATTTTCAGAAATGGAGCTTGAGAATTAAGGAAACAATGACCTCGATTCGGATATATAAGCATGACATGATCACCATATACTGGTGATTGCACATATTCGTTTAATTATAGTTTTTCTCTTTTAGTTGGTTCTTGCTGCGTATATGATTGAGTGTTGAAGCGGGAAATTTAGGGAATCCAATTCGTGTCGTTTGCTGTTGATGCAATTCAGTCAATGTTGAATGACTTTGTCGAGTCTGAATTCCAGAATGTTGTTGTGTTCCTGTTTAAACTTTTGAGGTTCTGAGTGAAATGCTACCTCTTGGTGCTGTAGCAGATATTATGCTGGTTTAGCAAAATAGGGAAAGTGACTTCAATGTTGTATTTCGCCGGGTGCGCTTTTCCCCCCTTCTTTCTATCAGGTATGCAGCATTGGAGCTAGAGAATCTATGAAAGGATTACCACTTCAGGCATGATCTCCATCTCCTGGTGGATGTATTCATGCTTTAGAGTCTTATGAATCTGTTTACGTGGAAATGTGATCAGAGAAAAGCAGTTTTATGTACTAGTATCTGAAAGGCTTCCTTGCTCTGTTCTTGAATGACTATGAAGCTTTGTCCAAGTTTATTGTGATTCAGTGCACCTTAGTAGACCGTGTATTCTATTTCTCGCCACACATCCTTCTTGGTTCTTAGTTTTGAATTCCGTTTTTGCTTACTTGTATGGAGAGTGCACGAACTAAATATAGATTTTTAATTTTGTTCCAAGTAGCTATTGTTTATTCGAGTTTCAAATCTCTTTCTAGGAATTGGGATTCATTATTTGCCTGTGCTTGAAAATGTTGTAGCTCCAATGATCTCCTAACAAACTAGTGCTAGGCTACAAAGTAGTCTAATTCTGGCTGTTATTATTTCAGAAAGCATTGGAACATCTGGCATCACTTGATTTAATTGAGCTGTGCAGTGAAGCAAAAGTCGAGCGCTGTCGGGCGACCAGAGATTTGAGGAGTTGTGGCCGTTATGTGCAGCATGTCTTGGTGTCATGTGGGCATGCTTCCTTATGCAAAGAGTGTAGTCAAAGATGTGACTCCTGCCCAATTTGCAGAATTCCGATCCCAAAGAATGACAGTAGACTTCGTCCTCGACTTTACTGCGAGTGCATAGAGGCCGGTCTCATCTCCAAAAGATGTGATGAGAGATTCCAAGAGAAAGAAGAGGGCGACGATCAATTGACTGCAGATGTGCTGCGCCTCTATGCTTTGTTTGATGTTGCTATGGAGAACAACTTGGTCTCATTGATTTGCCACTGTATCCTTCTCTGTCTCAGTGTGCTTCTGTTTGTTGGAATTGAAATTATATTTTTTCCATTTACTCAAGTGCTTAAGTTATACCTCATTGGTATTGCTACTAAATACCTCTTCTGTTTGCATTTATTGTAGTTTGTTTGCTTCTCTCATGAGAAATATAAATCACGAAATTAAAAGATATCCTTGACAGAGCTGCAGATGTTACTGATGTTTGCATGGATGAGACTGCTGTGTCGAGTGATCCAGTCATTGCGTTCTTGTTGGATGAAGTAGTTGTGAAGGACTGGTGCAAAAGAACATTTCGGAATATCATTGAAGAGCTTCTTCCAATATGTATCCTTCTTACTCTTTAGGCTTTTCTGTTGAAACTTGTATTGCTTTTTCTTTGCTTGCACAATGACTGGTCTGTTGCTCAGTACCTCATTAAGTGATGCTCTGTCAGATGATTCTGGGGAAGAAGACATGGGTGAAAAGATAGGTTTACTTCTCAAGCTTTCATCCAACCTGGGTGGGATATCCAATGTGCTAGAAGTTCTGGATTCATCATTTCAAGGAAGCTCTTCAGCCCAGCTCAATGACTTGCAGTTTCTGCACGAAAGTGTCTCAAAAGCAAAGCAGGTCTGTTAACTTACTAGTTTGGCTTGCTGTTATACACTCCAATCTGCAGGCTCTGTATTATTCAAGTTGAACTCACATCTATGCAATTCTTAAAACATGTCATTCCTTTAGATATCATTCATTGTTCTTTATAAGTAGGAATCATTGTGATATTTTTTTGATTGACCCATTCGTTTGATCGAGTTGGAGAAGGGCTTTGTTTACATTCCCAGTCCATGATGGCCCAGATCTTGTTATGAGTTCCTCTGTTACTGTTCACTGACATATTATTGACCACTTTGTAGCCCTTTTTTTCAGCATGCTGACATTATGGCCTGGTGTATACGGAATGAATTTTTGGAAAATGTAAGGGCTCGATATGGAAATTTAGCCTCATGGCGCTCTGTTGCAAGGGAAAGGAAGGCTGCTGCAACAAAGCGTTCATGGCCTGACGTGGTGAATCATTCTGCTGAGTCGAGTGTGAAGGCAGGTTCTCTCTTCATTGAAGATGCTTTATCAAATATTGAGATTCCTCAAGGTCATCCACAGCACATGGAAGAAGAACTGAGACTTGCATCTTTGCAGAAGGATAGAGATTCACTTTTCAGGTCTAAACTAGAGGGACTGGCAGTATGCTATCCTTTTGAAAGCCTCCGTGCTGCTGTTGACATGCTCTTCTTAACCGGAAGTTCTGACATGGTGGTTGCGAAAGAGGCGATTGTATCCTTTTATGCATTATGCATATGTGTATGTGTTTCAGTGTGTATATATTGCATGTTGATGCTTGATTCTATACATTTTCATTCTTCTTTTCCTTAATGAAGGTATAGTTTCTTTACTACATTTTCGACAGGCATTGGACAACACCGGATGACAATTGGAGAAGTATCATAGATGACTTTGCAGCTACATTTGGAATAACCAGACATTCCTTGATAGAATCATTAACTTTTTATCTTCTAGACGATGATACTGATGAAGCTCTAAAGGTCAGGACTTACATGTTTGCTTCATCTCTCATTCCTCTCCTAATCACGATTATGGTCACATAACTGTCTGCTTTCAGTTGCGCGGCAAAGATTTTGGATATTGTTTTCCCCCCTTCTTTCTTTGTTTCTGGCTGCCAGACAGAATAGTTCAGGTTGCACCTGAGATTTTTATTTACACTTTTGTTTGTTTTCATCCGAATGGTGTTGTAGACGTTTGCTTTTGGGCCATTAAATATTTTCATTCAACCAATAATCTTTATTAGTGCGCATGTATTAAGGGTAACAGTGAACAGAAGTGAAACCCTTCAATATTAATTGCAACAATCTTCAAACCTTTAATCCTATGCAATAATTACCAGCAATTTTTCTTTTACTGTTGAGTGTCATATGCTGACTGTTGAATGTGCTCATTGCTTCAGGAAGCTTGTAACCTTCTTCCTGAGATCTGTGGTCCATCAACTCATCCCAAAATTGCCCAAGTATTGCTGGAACGAGGAGTTCCTGAAACAGCTTTAATGGTGCTTCGGTGGTCTGGGCATGATGGATCAGAAATCGTGTCACTTAGTGAGGCTGTTACTGCTGTCAGGGTCAGGGTGGAATGTGGACTTCTGACTGAAGCCTTCATGTATCAGAGAATGCTATGTGCCAAAGTTAGGGAGAAGAACTCAAAGAGAGGACCACCAAAGGATAGTCCTAATCATTTAGAAGCCAAAACCAACAGATGGGGTGACTGGCTGGAGACTTTGGTAACCGAAATTTGTTGTCTCTGCATAAAAAGGAATTTGGTGGATCGGATGATTGAACTGCCATGGAATTCGGATGAAGAGAAGTATTTGAGTAAGTGTCTTCTTGATTGTGCCATCCATGACCCTTCAACGACTACTGGAAATCTTCTTGTAGTGTACTATCTTCAGGTAATGATTTACTTAAGTCTCTGTACTCTGCTCTCCCTTCTCTCTTTTTTTTTCTTTCCATTTTCTGACAGGGGATCAAGGTACCACTTTAGAGTACCATTTGACAGAACTCAAATCAGTGGGAGGTGTTCAAATAACAAAAAATAAGTGGGAGGTGATATAGAAAACATAGATTGTAAATGATTGATAAGGAACACAAAAAGAAAAAAAAACATTATTCAAATAGCAAATAATCTTTTTATATCTTAGTGCTTAGAGCATACTGTCATTTCAAATCCAATACTTCAATTATATAAGAGCATTTGGTCTGTGGTAAATTCTATTGTTGCAGCGATATCGTTACACTGAGGCATATGAAATTGATGCGAAGCTTCAGAATGCGGAGCAGGATTTTCTCTCGATGAATTCTATTGATGAAAGAGTTCTTTCGAGAATGAGATCAGCAAGTCACTGGAGGGCCACACTTGTTGTAAGTTCTGTTAAAGCTTGTGTAAAATTTTCTGATCACGGCATATAACAGCAAGCTTTTCAACAACATAGAGTTGGTCAGCTAAATATGTTATTATCTTGCAATGAATTGCTGTTTGAAATCGGCTTGCTAAATTAATCTATGTTTTGAACAGGGGAAATCTATGCAGCTGCTGTCCCCGATTCAACAGCAACTGGTTAAGGATGGTCTTCATAGAATCAGTGACTCTAGTTATGGTGAAGAGATCAATTTACCAGTAAATTCCAACACTCCAGTAGAAGAAAACCCAACTAATTCAAGGAGTATTGTGGTTCCGTCAAATACACAGTCTTCTAGTTCGATTGTTCTGCCATCAGAAAAGCCTAATGATCCATTCAAATCATCTCTTCAAACTCCGACAGCACTAGGTGGATCGACAACTGTCAATCTCTGGTTTGATCAAGGCAATTATGGCACTCCTGTGGGGTTGAAGAATCACCACCAAGGCAGTAGCCTCAGCAGGAACCTGAAATTTGACGATGTCTCAACTCCTGCAATAGAGTCGAACAGATCTTCAAACAGACACCTGCATCACTACTATCAACACGATAGTTACCCCGAAATGGAAACAAATGGATTTCTCAACCAATCAAGCGAGACTCCTCTCTTTTCTGCTGCGAATCAGAAATTGGGGTCGAGCAAGAAGCATGGTTTCGATGCGACGTCCGGAACTGATCCCATGGATGTTGCTATGAGGTGAACAGTTTTAGCTTTTAAACCTATCTTTTATTTACAATTAGTTCTCTCTTCGACAAACCAAAAACAATCCCTTTGTTAGTTTGTTCCATGGATTAGCCCCAGTTATCTTTTGAATTATTTCAGTGGTGGCGTGAAGGCTTCTTTGATCGATGAGAAGAGTTTAAATGGCGGGCCGAGATGGAGGTCAGATGAAACCAGCGATGAAGACGGCGAAGAAGAGAGTCCCGGTAGAGCTGCCGCTACTGGTTTCACAGTCTCTCGGAGGAGTAGTAGGAGAGTTAGAATTGGCAGGCGATGATGAACAAGATCCTCAATACCGGCGGTGCTCAGTCTTTTTTTACCAAAGACCAAAACCAAACCAAACCAGAATTGTTCATATTTTGTTCGGCGGCGAAATGGGAAAAATTTGAATTAGATTTTGGTTTGGATTCCCTCCCTTGTCCTCGTCTCAATTTTGTATGTTGTAGCTTCAAATACATCCTCCAAGTGCTATATCATCCGATAACCATAAATAACTCCTGACAGCTGAAATCTTTTGATTTCAGTCCCATTGTTTTAACTTTTAATGATGCAAACCCTAACCCGGTTTTTTTTTTTTACATTGAGGGGAGGCCGAGGCCAAGAAAGCAGAAACAAGGTTACAGAGGCAGACTACAGCGGGGAAGAGGGGGGCGCCACAATCTGGCTTTCAAGAGTAACTCCTAACATATCATCCCTAAGAATCGAAGTTAGTCTGATCGGAGGATCCGCAAGCTCATGCATACCGTAGGGATAGACGAGACTGTGCTTCGATAGCCAGTCCGCGACTCTATTCCCTTCTCGATATGTATGAGTGATGCGAACCAGCCAATCGCGACTAAGCTTTCTACGGATAACCGAAAGTAAAATAGCATAGGGGTGATCGGATCAGTCCTGTTTTCAATAAGATGGATGACCAGCTGGCAATCTGAAGCAATAACCAAAGCTCGGTGACCTCCATTCCAAGCCACATCGATACCATGATTGACAGCCCACAACTCCGCAAGAGCAGCAATCGATGTCCCTAGGTTCGCCACGAAATCTCCTAGCCATCTGCCCGTGCTGTCGCGCTGCACCCCACCAGCCCTCGCCGGGCCGGGGTTGCCCGCCGAATCTCCGTCACTATTGAGAGAAATCCTGCCTTGCGCTGGCGGTGTCCATCCGACATTCGCCAATATTCGAGGCGCTGTGCGAGCTCTGTTGTCTGGAAGAGGCGATGGTGAGTTCCAGGATTCACTCCAAAGTTTAGCTTTGGATAAGATCGAGTGCTCCAAAGTTGGTGGAGTCAGAGCAGCTTCAAGGCCATGAAAAGTGGTTGTGTTGAGGTTTTTCCATAATAGTGAGGCAACAATACTAAAGAAACCCGGCCATCCCACTCCGGTTTCCGTCGAGGCGCTGCTCAATAAATTGGAGCGCAACCAATCATGAAGCGGGGAGGTGAAGAAGGCCGATTGAAGTTCGCTGGGGATGTGGCATGACCTGAAGAACAGAGCCGGCGGACAGTCTCTGATTATGTGAAGGATGGTCTCTGGCTGGCCGGCACACGTTGTGCAAAATGGGCTATCCGCAACATGGTCGATCTCTTGGGAAGCGCATGGATGACATGTACGACTACATGGGCCAGATTTTCACCTAGATGACTGGCATGTACGACTACATGGGGTAAATGACCACCTAGATGAGCACACTGCAGGTGACCGTGAATGAGATGCGAGACGAGTCGATCTTTCCGTGGAAGATACATGCATGTCACCTTAACTTCCGACTACCATAATGCTAGCAACACCAATGAAGAAAATTTGGATGAGGGAGAGAGGAGACAGGAGTAGGAACTGGACGATTTTAGATTATGTGTTTTTATTGTAAAGTGTTAAAAACGATTGTGGATTGATATTATGTGGTTTTAGATTTTAGTTATGTGTGAACAATTATGATTTGTGTTTTATTGTATTTCTTGTTAGTTTGTTTAGTTGTTATGCTATGAAGTTATGAGTGTTATCATTATTTATGACTGATTCTGTTGGTTTGAAACGTAATTTATACGAGCAAAAGAACCAGCCACATCGCTTCCCAAAGAGGTCGACCATTTGCTATAAAAGGTCAACCGCGTCGTTGAACCTCACAAAACTGAAACGACATATTAGGTCGACCTAATCCTATATAAGGTCGACCTAAAAGTGCAGATTAGGTCGACCTAATCCTATATAAGGTCGACCTAAAAGTGCAAGTTACGGTGACATGCATGTCACCGTAGTAAAGTCCTAAGGTTTAATTCGATCAAATTCAATTTAGTGTAATGAATTTCACACAAAATACATTTTCACAATCACAACTTTCACTTTTATGACAGTTATAGCCAAAACTTCTGAAATACACGAATAGCCAGAATTTTGATGGTTGTTTGATGAATCTAGTTATTTCCGTTACAAACTATTATAGTGTTAGAAATTATTTCAGTTAGATTAATGACACGTTGAGTAAGATACCAAATTGACGCACACATCAACGACAACTCAACTTGATTTGCCAAGTAGATGGCACATCATAATTTACTTTTTAAAATATTTTATTATTCATTCCCCCCACTTTTATACAATCATCACTGGTAGAAAAATAGAATAGTCCCGTCCGGGGCGGAAATGAAAAATTTAGGGCTCATAACCAAATTAGGCGCGGTGTTGGCCGTTTCTCCTACCACCCAAATGCGGGCATCGTCGCTCAACGCATCTTATTCACATTACCAGTCGAACGAAAAAAGGGGTACAATTGAGGGAACAAATAAGAAACCTAGGGCTTTGCTAATTGTGGGATTCTGCGCCGCCTGGTACATTCACCTAGCATCCCTTCTCATAACCAGCAATCCAATAAGCGAAACAGACAGAGAGAGAGAAAAGATGGGGTGATTTTGACGTGTGAGGAAGCTTTGGGTGAGATCGGAGCTGAAATGTGTTAGAGTTAGTCAATAGAGTTGTAATACCACATTGATGAAAGAAGGGGGAAAAAAAGAATTAAGTCTTTTGGCAGTTTAATTAATTAATTAAAATTTGTATTAATTTTTTAATTAATTAGCGTTTGAATGTTGTAAAAAGAAGTGTCCTTCCAGAAAGGTAATTTCCCTATTCCGTGAAAGGATGTGTCCTTTCGGGAAAGGTAACTACCTTTTATGTGAAATGATGTGTCTCTTCGGAAGATAACTTTTAGTTTTCACAACTACAAATAGATGACTGCCATAACCCTTTTCATGACGAGAGATTACTTCTTCTTCCCGTTTTCCTTCTCTATTTCATAAACACAGAAGTCTGCTAGATTGCTGCTTCCAGACTTTGAATTGAAGGGACTCCTGGGGGTGATTTGCTCGAGCCACCAACAATTTGTAGTGGGGCAAATAACACTCTAAGGAGAGTGATCTAATCACGCCTTCAATCGATTCTTTCGTAACGGTTTCCTAGCAAATTCTGACTAAATGTTTGTCTGGATTGGTTTCAGGAGACGGTCGCCCAGATCCCTCGTCTGCTTCAGCAACCACCAAATCAAATTTCACAGGCGTTGAACTCCTCCTACTCTTCGCGGCGACCAATGACGGGTGGAAGCGATGCTCGAGATAGTTGATGGTGACGTCGGGATATGAAGTCTACAGCGGCAAGGTCCGACTGACGACGAAGGTGGCGGTTGAAACTCTAACTCGACGATGCCTCTGGTGTGAAGCCCAATCATCGATTCTCTCAATGAATTATCCCGATACTTTTAACCAAGCAAAATACTCGTGGATCTAGAGCCGGTTAAAAACAAAGCTCAAAATTCGAATACAACTTAATCTTTTCCCAGAAAAACATTAAATGCAATGCCCTAAACACGTGGGCGACCTCAAACTATAGCCAATAAAACAACTTAAACCATGAACCTCCAGTTTATAGTCATAATCATAAACGTAACTAACTAAACAAACACCTACTCTAACTCCTCGCTGAGCTCACTAAGACCTTGTCCACACTGGTATGGCAGATCGGCTCGTCCTCCCTCTTCTCGAAAATCACGTTTGATAACCCTTCCTCAACCTGGTGAGTGAGAAGGGGTCAGTCTCGTCGTTACTTTCTAAGGTTTTTGCCCTAAGCAAAACCTTCCTATCACATTATTAGAAATTTATTCCTCTTACATGAAAGTCGTTCTCGCTTTCAGTGTTAATACCTTAGTCCTTAATGGCTTATAGAAGCTCTCGATCAAGCCTTGTGGACAAGAGTTCTGAAGGCTAAATATGGAAGAGCTAGAGAAGGTCTTTAGGTCCTTTCAAAAGTTCACAGAAGTTCTACTGCCTGGAGGAGCTTCACCTCTACTGTTAATATTCTTAAAAAATGAATTATATCTAATGTTAGAAATGGCCACAACTCTAATTTCTGGTTGGATAACCGGGCTTTACGACCGAGGCTACGAGCACGTCGGCGGGACTAACGGCGGCGCCTCTTCTTTCGATAATTATAATAATTTTTTTTTATTTTTTATGGTTAAAAATGAGTTGGACATTAAAATAAATTAAATTAAATTTTATTTATTATTTCTTAATTGCCACGTCACTAAGTTAACGGTCAACTTTGAGAGTTGACTGCCACATCAGCCAAAGTTAATGGAGTTAGACGGAGAGTGACCAAACATGAACGGTTTCAGTAAACCTAAGTACCACCAATGGATTTAAATATTTCGAGTGACCAAACTTGAACGTTTTTTGTAATTTCAGTGACCAACCATGCAATTAACCCAATACAAAACTGTAGAGTTCGGTACACTAACTAAAACCTTATTAAATTCATAAAATAAAAATGAATTCAACTCTACGAAATATCCTTACAAATAACTTGATACACAAATACTACTTTTGATTATCCATCATTCTTTGATCCATTCACGCATAACTTTTCATCCTAAAACAATCTCACAAGTACTTGTAGCTACGATGAGGCAAGTATCCCCACTAACAAATTAACCAAACAATCATATTACTTTTTTTTCCACACGACACAATATTAATGAAATTGATATCTAGTCTAGTCTAGATAATAAATAAAAGCCAAATGATGAAAACTGTTGGTCCATTTCAAATTTCCTGTAACGAGAGTGATTATAGGAAGGACATTTTGGTCTTCACAATTGCTTATTTTCTTATTTATTTATTCATAAAAAAGGCATGCACTGGGATTTGAACCTTGGTCTCTTTAAAGGCAAGCAAGGATCATAGCCAATCACACTAAGTATATTTATTGTATCTATTTAAATTCAAACATACACGAACCTAAATTATGAAAATCATATGACTTTTTTAACGATTAGTTGGCCACTGAATCTCCCGTAAGTACTTATTTGGTGTTTTAATACTTTGATTATTTTAGTTGTAGTTTAATACTTAATTTAAATTTCTATCTATTTTATAAATATACAATAACCCTAAAATTGCAGCCCAAATATCACTGGTTCGAATATTGCATATCGAATTGCAATATTAAACATGTAGAAGCAATATCGACTTCTTAAATTAATAGGGTTAATTGCAAGGATGGTCACTGGGTTTACTAAAACCGTTCATGTTTGGTCACTGCAAATATTTAATTCCATTTATGGTCATTAAGATTAGTTCAATAGTTCAAATTTGGTCAC